AATGCAAAATGTTTTCCAAAGCAGTTGTACCAATTTCACTCTTAAGTATCCTGGTTGTTCCACAACTTCATCAACATTTGTTACTGTCAAACTAAAATCTGTGTCCCTCTAGTAGATCTGAAATGATACCTCATCATGGTTTTCATCTGCATTTTCCTTGGTTACTAACAAGGGATAAGCATCTTTCTTATGTTTATTGGCCATTCAAATTTGCCCTTCAGTGCTGAAGTCTTTCATTCATTTATCCTTTGGGTTCTCTCACCTCTTTTAGGATTTATGAGATTTCTCTATAAATTCTGGAAACTAATCTTTATCAGTTAACTGTGTTACAAATAACCTCCCTTATTTGTGCCTCATTTTAAAATTCTCTTTACTATCATTTGATAAACAGTCCTTAGTTTTAATGTAGTTTTTTTAGTATTAATTCTTTTTTGGTTTGAACTTTCATGGCAGGTGTAAAAAATATCTATAATCCCACAATACTGTCTTCTAAACACTTGATAGTTTAGCCTTTCACACAAGTATTTATCTCAACTAGAATTGAGACAATATTTGTGTATGGGGCAAGCCCTAATTTTCATATGGGAAATCAACAGATCTAACACTATACAATGAAAAATCCATCATTTATTCACTGATCTGTAATCTCTGTCATAAATCAAGTTTTCATACTTATCAATCTGTCTGTAGCATCTCTATTCTGTTCTACAGGTCAATTTTTCTACTGCTTTACCAACATTACTGTCTCAATGACCATAGCTTTTTGATAATTATTGGTATCTGGTAAGACAAGTCCACCTCCTTGTTTTACAGAACTATCTCAACTACTTTTGGCCTGTTGACAGTCTACAAACTTGAAAGGTTTCACAAAAATGTCTTCAGAGATTTTTGTCTGGAACTGCATCAAATCCATAGATAAATTTGAGAAGTGATATCTTTAGGATAAAATGTTTCAATCCATACACACGGTACACACTCCTTTTCTAAGGTATTTTTAATATCTTTCAGTATTTAAACATTTTTATAGGTACCTGTTCCAATCATCAATTGCTGTATAACAAATAATTCCAAAATTCAGTCACTTAAGTCAACGTCCATTTTGCTTATGAATCCGCAATTATAGGAGGGTGTTTGACAGTAAGTCTGTGGCAAGTGGAACAAACCATAGGCAGGCAGGTGCTGGAGTCACCTGAAGAAGCCCAAGACACATGGAGAGGGTGCATGGTGATCTGTTCAACAACCCTACCTAAGGTCCCAGTATATAGTCAGCATCAACCACCGGAATACACTTTCATTTCTAACAGAGTATTTTTGCCTTTTTTCTTTTTTCTTCATTAATCTCTCTAAACATTGAAATCACATGTTGATAGATATGTGAATAAAAAATAATATTATCCTTTATAACTGTACTGTCCAATATAACAGCCACTAGAAACTCGTGGATGCTTAAATTTAAATTGATTAAAATTAAACTAAAATTTCAGATGCTCAGTCAAAATAGCTACATTGCAAGTACTCAACAGCCATGTGTAACTTGTGGCTACTATGCTGAACAGAGCAAAGAGAATATTTCCATCATCTCAGAAAGTTCTATTGGATGCACTACACCCTTACTAATTTTCTTCTGCTTGTGTTAAAATCTCTACTATAAGAGTGAATTTTCCTTGTAGTTCTATCAATTTTTGTTTATATATTTTAAGGCCATATGATTGGGTGCACATAAGATTGGAAATGTCCTATCAGGCTGGTAAATTGAGTCTCTTACATTTTAAAAGTAGTAGCAGCCTTCTATCTCTAGCAATATTAATATAGTTAAGTCAATTTTCTTTTGATTAGTATTAGCTTGATATGTTTTCATATCCTTTTATATTCAGCCATTTCTATAGCTTTATATTTTAGTTATACCTCTAACAAACCTTTTGTTGGACTTTAATCCATTCTGACAATCTTTGCTGTTTAACTAGGACATTTAATCCATTTACATTTATTTTAATTGTGATTTATTTTTATTTACTTTAACTTTTTGTGCTATATATCCCATCTTTCATCTTCTTTCTTGCCTTCTTTTAGATTATTTTTTTCTTATTCTATTATCCCTCTTTTAAATTCTAAGTTATACAGCCAAGTTCTAGTCTTTTAGCAACTACCCTAGAAATTACAGGAAGCATACTTACAAAGATCTTTAAACATCTGAATTCTGACCATCTCTTCCTAACTTTTAAATCAATGCTGCCATGTATTTTAATTCTGCCTTTGTTTTTAACCCCACAAGAGATTAACATTTATTCACTCAATATTTGTTTAGGTTTATCCATTTCCATGGCTCAACATATTTTCTTACATTTTCACTTTCCACTTAAGATAATTCTCCTTGTACCTGAAATATATCCTTTAGAATTCCCTTTAAGGAGAGTGTATTGGTAACAAACTGTCAGTTTTAAATTGTCTGAAAATACTTTTATTTTACTGTTGTTTTTGAAAGATACTTTTGCTGAGTATAAAAATCTGAGATTGCATAGTTATTTTCTTTTAGTCCATTAATGATATCATTCTACCATTGTCTGGCTTCCACTGTTTTTGGTGAGAAGCTGAATCCCATTAGTCTTACAATGGTTCATTTGAAGGTCTCTTTCTTTGGCTGCTTTTAAGAATTCTCTTTGCCTCGTATTCTGTACTTCACTATTATGTGTCTACATAAAGATTTCTCTGTGTTTATCCTGATTGGGATTTACTGGGTTTCTAGGTATTAGTACTTGCATCATTCCTACAACACCCTCTGCCATTAGCTAGTCATCAAACGGCCTCCAGCGTAGACTGTGTGTGTATTCCCACTGGAATTCCAGTATGTTTTTCTTCTGGAATTGCGATATCTGAAATCTCTGAGGATTAATTTTGCTGCTCATTAATTTTACTGGCTTTTTCTCGTACTTTTCCATTGCCTGTTTGGTAAATTTCTATTGTAAATTCATTTTTCTTGGAATTTTATCTATGAGAATTACTTGAAGTCTGAGTTGGGTGTAGACTCCTTCAGAGAAGATGTGTATTTATTTCTGATAGATAGCCAGAGGCCCTACTTTAAACTAAACTCTTAGCTTAAGGTTTCCCAGACACCTAGATCATATGAATTCAGGCAATAAACCCACTTGAAGGTCACCATGAATTCTCAAGGGGCACCTTGCACCTATCTCTCAGCACCAAGGTTTGACATGATTTTCTCTGCAAGCACTCCCTGGGGTAAGAGCTTAACTTCCAATTCACACTGAATGTTGCCCTTTGAAGTCTCAGCTTTATAGGATTGAGGTAGGAGGCGTCTTATACTCCCCACCTTAGGCTCTGAGTTTTGTCTTCTATTTTCCAGGCCCCTTGAAGTCATAAACACCACAGATGAACGTTCTGCACATGCCCTCAAAGTCAGGTTCAGAACTCTGTTTACCTCTTAAGAGTTCTCTCTTTCACTTAGTCTTTGGGCTCCAAGTATTCTTTACTAACTACATTTCCACTTATTTGTGTTTCCCCCCAGCATTTTTAGTTGCTTTCATCAGGGCACCTACTTAGCCATACTATCAACTAAGACGTACAGAATCCTCATCTAAAGATGAATATAGAAATATGCTCAAGGATGATTTAAATACATTCTGCAAGGACAGATCCATAAATTATTAAAGCACAGCTGGGGATTTTGAAGGATCTTTAAGACTTCCTTTTAACAATGTCTGTTGAAGACATGTAGGTAACTGCACTGACCAGCAGGAAGAAGCACTCTGGGAGTTAGTAACTTGTCCTTTTGCCCAACTTCAGTACTACTAATTTGGTCTTGAGGAAAAGGCAAGTCTTTCACTGCATCACATTAGCTTAAAGGAGTCAGATGAGATTAACACCATGAACACTTGTATCTTGACTTCATAATTCAACTGTAACTTCTTTGAAAGCAAACACTGTGTTCTTTAAGTCTTTTAATTCTTCCCCTCTTAGTTCTTAACCACTTTCTACAAAAATCAAATACAATGCACCCTGCTTATGGTCAAGTTTTCACTAAAGGATCTCCTTAGCTCTTACCTCTCACAAAGATTTCACATGATTCTGAAAGTGTCTCTAGATCAAGAAATGATGTACTAAAAAACAATGAAGTTCCATCTGCCCTTTCCTTAGCAAATCCTCTTTTACTATCAAAGTAACCACAATTTTGGATTAATATGAGGAACCTTGCAGGAACCATAGAGATCATCTAGTAACTAGTCCAACACTCAATTTACAGGTAAGGAAACAGATACCCAGAGTGAACACAGTTGCCTAAAATCACTAAACTGGACAGCTAAGAGCTGAGTTATGGCTGAAACCAAGCTTCCTGACTTCATGCCCAAGATTTTCCTTACCCCAAGCTCCGCGTCTCGCCATTCCGTGAATGGGGACAGTTAGAGAGAAAGAGATCTGGTAGCTTCACAGAAAAATCCCAGCAACTACACCGTGAGGTCACACCTGTCCTTAAGGAGAGGAAGCCCAGCCAGACTTCAACCGGTGGGTGCAACCCAGGACTGAAGTCTAGCAGGAGAGCATCGCAGAAGGAACGAGGGAAACCCATCAGGCCGAGAACGAGCTGATCGCGAAGAGGCAGAGTCCTGGGGTCCCCGGAGCACCGGGCGAGCTCGCTGGCAGTGATGGGGACCCAGGGTTTCCAATCCGCACCACCTCGCCGTCCTGGAAACGGGCTCTCTTTGGGCTCGACGAAAACGTGTCGGGACAGTAGCAAATCCAAAAACATGAAACAAGCCTCCGAGAAGTTTCTCGGCGAAGGCGCGTGGCGCTGGGGCTCCGGCCGCACGCAGAAAGAGTCGGATGGGGGAGGGCAGAGCGCAGGGGTCGCGGGGGGAGGTCGGTCTTCACCCGCGCCAGCGGCAGCCGAGGACACCCTGCCCGTCCGGGGTCAGCACCTCGAAGCCCCGCCCCGGCAGGGGTCCGCCATCCCGAACGCGCCCGCGGGTCCGTGTCAGGAGGATTCTTACCCGAGCAGGCGCCGACTCCGCCATGGCTGCCAGTCGCCCCTCAACACCCGGGCCCCGCCTGATATGCCTCGGGCTGCGCGCGGGTCCGCTGGGCGCCCCCGGCCCCTCCTCAGAGCCGCCAGCAACACCGTGTTGATACAAGGTGCATTGTGGGAGTGCGGCCCTCTCAGGCCAAGACAGGCGCCGGCCGCTCGTCCTCACCGCGCGGGATTTCCCTGCGCCCCCGTGAGGCAGGAGGGTGAACAGCAGCTCAGCAGTCCGGGCTGCCACGAGACGGGAGAATTCCGTCCTCCCAAGGCAAGTGCAGGTTCGGAATTCAAGGGCCTTTGTCTCCTGCGTGCCCGGCCCTCTGATAGGTGTTTTCGGGGCTTCAAAAATGTATAAAACCCAGACTTTGCTCTGAGGGAAGAACGTGTAATCTAGTTGGGGGAAAGAGATACGGTTCCAAATGCCAAGTGCTTTTATTCCAAAAGTATACCTGTTATTTCGCTTTTTAGAAACTAGAAATGTTACGGAAACGACAGGCCAGCCAAGAAACAAGCACCACTCGGAGGGTTGGAGTACGCAGATGTATTACGCCGGCGGGCTCAGAGGGGCTTCTGCTCCAAAGCTCTGAGCACCTCCAAGACGTGCGCATGAGGTTTTACAGGGTTAAGTACAAGCTTGGGGTATTGGCCAATAGGCATGAAACAGCTTTAGCAGCATCAGTATCACAAAAGTGGAGGCAGGGAGGCAGCAAACCAACATTCCAAAGCCAGATATATCTCTTTGAAAATCCAGCTGGCTAGCAAAAAAAACATAAACAGGGAATCCGCAAACCAACACTGATTAACTTAGATTTATGAGTTAGTCCAGCAGAACTCAGGTCAGTATTCCAGTACTTAGATTTGTGAGTTATCTTGTTAGCCCAGCCCAGCTTTTCTTGTTAGCCCAGCCCGCTTTTCTTTCACATTCTTAGACTTGTGAGTCATCTTGTTAGCCCAGCCCGG